TACCACAACTGACAACTTGTTCTTTGAACCTCTAACTGAGCTGCTAGCATATGCACAAAGAAAGCAGCCTCAGTTAGAGTAAGTTTGTGACGCAATCCACTCTCAATGCCCTGCCTAATGTAGAAAACGTAAAGAACGAGCATGATCATGACCCAAATTTTAGCTCTGGGTTGGACATGCTTTTGCATTTCTCTTCCAACTCTTCAAACCAATCCGATCAGTCTCTGCCCACAAAAATTGCAAAACTCGAAGCTCGGATGGTTGGAAAGGCTCCCTCAGCTGCGCCTGCCCCGGCGCAGGCCACCTGGCCAGCTGCTCTGTGTGTGGCGAAGTATGGAGTTGCTGCTACTGCAGAGAATTTGTCCGAGTCCTTGCCTTCAAGCGATTCTGATGATGATGTGAAACTTGAATTCTGTTTATTCATTTGGATTTGTAGTTGTTTTGATCTTTCACACATGTTTGAGATGTAATGTGGTCTGTTTTGAGTTTGTTTATGATTGCTAGCTCAGTAATAGGCATGATAATAACCCTGCCAATTGACGGTAAAAACGGAATTCCAAATCTTAACCGGGCTGCGGGGTCCAAATTTGACGGTATATGGACATAGAAAATGTTACATTAATGTTTTAGTTGAATCTTGCAACTTCTGGAATGACCCAAATTTTAGCTGAATTAGCATTAAAAGTTGAACAGCCATTCTTTTCCTTGAATTGTTATAATCAATTTCCCAAGTTTGGCTGGAAAGTTCAGCTTATGGATAAACTTTGTATGAATCCAATTTCAGGTTCAATTGAATCTGAGATTTGATTAGTTTTGGAAAAAAACTTGGTGACTTTGAAATTGTAATGAAGAATCAAATTGAATCTAATTTATTGAATTCTGTTTGTACACTTGCGTTTGTAGTTGTTTTGATCTTTTGCACATGCTTGAGATGTAATGTGGTCTGTTTTTAGTTTGTTTATGATGCTAGTTCAGTAATCTGATAAAGCCGCGAATTAACAGCAAAAACGAAATTCCAAATCTTAACGGGTTGTGGGGTCCAAATTTGACAGTATATGGACCATAAAAAATGTTGCATTAATGTTTTAGTCGAGTCTTACAACTTCGGGAATGACCCAAATTTTAGCTAATTAGCATTAAATATCGAAACAGCCATTATTTTTCTTGAATTGTTATAATCAATTTTCCTGTTTTTGGAGGAGAAATCCAGTTTAGGGATAAGTTCGTATGAATCCAATTCCAGGTTCAATCTGAATCCGAGAGTTGATTAATTTTGGAAAATACTTGGTGACTTTGAAATTGTTACAAACAGATTAAATTGAATATAATTTTTTGATCCTCAAATTGACACAACAGGTAACTATGCAGTCATTGATATCTGAATTTTATATGGCAGCTTGTCACCCATCGGGGGTATAATGGCAAGGAAGTACATTAACTTGTTTGACTTCAAGAGCGAGCTTTTAATTTGTGCTATCAACGTAGCTCTAACTCTCTCTTTTTCAAGGAAGGTTTCACTAGTAGATTGTTCTTGGTCAGGCAAGCCTATATGTTTAATTCAAGTTTTAGGATTGAAAAATTGATTTGTGAATTTCATATAGTCCGTTACGAGATTGAGTTAGAATGTGTTATGTGCTGTTAGTAAGATGTCATCTTGAAGTTAATTCTCTTACTTGGCTTCAAAACCCAAGTATGGGGTTGAAGGGGATACATGTTGGATTTTGTGAGTGAATGTAGATATGCAAGGTTGCATCCATGAATAAAAGGTAACTATAAGCACAAGAATGTCCGAGCGCACATTCACATTTTCTGCTTGTTTCTTTAAAATCAACCACTAATAGTTGGGAAATGTATGCTTGCATGAACAATACAATGCGGAATGCCTGTAGCAAAATTGTCCAAGAAAGAATTAGAAGGTTAGTAAACACACCAAATGATTGAAATTATATCTTATTAGGACAAACAAGAAAAAATGGAGTGAAAAACAATTGCAGGATTGATAAATAATGATAGAGATGGAATTTATTGTTGCCAATAATATAACTAATCTGTGGAAGTTCTGTGAGCTTTTGTGTATTTAAAGAACTGTTTCATTTCAGCTGATGATGCACTCACCATCGACTTGTATGTGTCAGTGCATGCTTGTGTGTTTCTGTACATTTTTTTTAATTTTAATGAGTTGTCTTGTCTAGATTCGTGGACTGTTGGAGTAATAATATCTCACAATTAGAAGTTCTGTGTTAGAATATTGTATAGTGTTTGCTTCACAATTAGAAGTTCTGCATTTCCTCTTTCGGAAACAGATTTTGTGTTTTAGTTGCTGTGATTTACGGTCTGGTTCACCTGATTTTTTATTTTTATTTTTATTTTTTTTTCACGAAGCATTATGGTTCACGTGCTTTTTAAAAATCTCTGAATTTCTTCCTTCTTTTTGAATTCAACAACATTGTCTTTTTACTCTTATGATAGAATGGAACGGCGTATCTCATACAAGCAAATACTCAAAAGCGCCGGAAACTTGAAGAAGATGACAACTCATCTGCTTCTGAACATGTTGAGGTAGACTTCTATATTGGAATTTATTGTTGCCAATAATATAACTAATCTGTGGAAGTTCTGTGAGCTTTTGTGTATTTAAAGAACTGTTTAATTTCAGCTGATGATGCACTCACCCTCGACTTGTATGTGTCAGTGCATGCTTGTGTGTTTCTGTACATTTTTTTAATTTTAATGAGTTGTCTTGTCTAGATTCGTGGACTGTTGGAGTAATAATATCTCACAATTAGAAGTTCTGCATTTCCTCTTTCGGAAACAGATTTTGTGTTTTAGTTGCTGTGATTTACGGTCTGGTTCACCTGATTTTTTATTTATTTTTTTATTTTTTTTTCACGAAGCATTATGGTTCACGTGCTTTTTAAAAATCTCTGAATTTTTTCCTTCTTTTTGAATTCAACAACGTTGTCTTTTTACTCTTATGATAGAATGGAACGGCGTATCTCATACAAGCAAATACTCAAAAGCGCCGGAAACTTGAAGAAGATGACAACTCATCTGCTTCTGAACATGTTGAGGTAGACTTCTATATAGCAATTGTTTGCTTGATTGGAGCTTCAGTGTGGTGATATCTGTCTCAAGTATTAAACCTTTTTTCTAGCCATTTATAATCTTTTACTTTTTCAGCCTTTGTTATTGTCTATGTTTTTTGAACACGTAACGGTAATTTTATGATATGTTTGATATTGATATGCTATCATTTACCGGTACTCTTCTTAGGCATGGCTTCTTTGGTATTAGCTGTTATTTCTGCATTTTTTCTCTTAGATTTTATTTTAATGAAACGATAGCATAGTGATGCTTACATATGAATGAATCAGGCTGTGGCTGACATAGGACAAAAGGTTGTGGAAACCACAGACCCCAAGCCAGGTGTAGATGTGAATAGGAGAAGACAAGGCCGTGGTAGGGGGCATGCTGCTTCAGGCAGGGGCCGTGGTTCCAGAGTTAATGGTCAGGCGAAAACACAAACTTCTCCTCCAATTAATTCACCATCAAATGGTCAGCTTATCAACTCGCATCATAAGGTATGATCTGTACAACATGACTTTCTCCGATTTCTTTCCGTATCTTCTTCAACTACTGCTGCTGCTCATATGGAATTGTGAAACATAGCAGCAGGGGATGCCCTTTTACATTGTGATTGGGCCCAGTGGAGTACCATAAGACGTTGATACTTTGTTGCTAGTAATTGTAGTACCATATGAGCTTAACGCCTGTAAGCTCTGTTGGATATGGCACTGTTACATTTGTTCACTGTGTTATGCAGAAACCTTCAAATTATTAATGTAGGCATTATAATATAATAAAAAGAATGTCCCAAAATATTTGCTGATCTAGAAAGAAATGGGCCTAAATTATTGTGATGTTAGAATTTACCATCACCTACCACCACTACCACCTCACCTACTCCACTAAACCTAACCCACTACACCACTGGCCTAAATTATTGTGATCACCGTCGTTCTTCTTTAATCATCGATTGACCATCTTCAACGTCAAACTTCACCAATGGCTTCAAATCTAGTTGTTTTCAATGTCAATCTACCATCTTCGGCGCCAATCTAGTACTGTACATAGTTGCCAATGAGATCGAGACTCTTTCTACAATGTGTTGGTCAAGATCTACATTTGTAAAACATTCTGAACTAATCTAATGAATTTATCACTTAATTCAGTGATAAATTTATCACTGATTTGTTTAATATGTTATGGACTGCTGCTGCTGAAATTTTGATATAAATATAATGATAAATTTATCACTGATTTTTGTTCATTTTATATTTATCAACTTTCTCTTCCTCACTCCCTCTCTTTTTATTTCTCTTAAACCAAATCTGTTGTATTAGTGATAAAAGTATCACTGATATATTTCTTTGAATCGTGTGTTGATTTGTGACGATGATGACGAGGTTTTTTTTTTTTTTTTTAATCTTTTAACAAACAACTAGTGAGAAATTTATCAGTAAATGCGTTTATCACTGCGAAATTTATTACTGAATATGTCTTTGAATCTTGTGTTAATTTGTAATGATGATGATGAGAATTTCTTTTTGCAATTTTTTAACAAACAGTCAGTGATAAATTTATTATTTTTGTCACTAGAGAGAGATGAATATGTATTATGATTAATCTACCAGTAATAAATTTATCATTGATTTGTTCAATATGTTGTATATTGTTGCTGAATTTATCACTGATTTGTCATTATAGATGTGAATATGTTGGATGGGTCAATCTATCAGTTATAAATTTATCACTAGAAAGAGAACAAAGAGCAGATGGTAATGGTATGGTTATGTTGATCTACAATACAAAGGCTAACAATTTCCTACTAAGCCTTTCTTTTTCCTTTTCCTCTCTATCTTCTCTCTCTCTCTCTCTCTCTCTCTCTATCATTATTTTTCTTTTTCTTTTTCTTTTTCTTCTCCTGTCGTCATCAGATCTTAGGAGATAGTGACAGTTGTGAGCGCCGAAAGTTGCCGGAAGTGATCATCAGAGGTTGCCGGAGGTTATCACCGATGGTTGAAGACAAGGTACTAAATGGATCTCATAGCACAAATGTTTTAACTTATTGTGAAAAGTACTAACTTTGTCTTTTTGATGATCTAGTTCAATTTCCTCGAAAATCGCATTAGAAAGCATGCAACAGCACTTGTTGCTTCTGGTCTGTTTGAGGAACCAATTGACCCTACAGTTGCTTCACAGGTAATATAGTTGCTCCATTTCTACCTCTCTCTTATCCGCACACACTCGCAATCTTAAAAAATGGAGAATTTACATTGTTTGGTGTGAGGAGTGGGAGAGAGCCTTTAAATAAGGGTAGTTTTGAAAGAAAATAAAAAATGGAAATTCGGGTGCAACTTCTAGCACTTCCCAAATTGTTATGGCATTTTTTTAATATGATTTAGTTTTGATTTGAGTTTGTATGCTAATCAAACAACATATCTATGCTTCTCATGGAACCTATTATTTCAGAAAAGTGTATTTGCAGTTGGCATGATCTGCTGTGAAGAAGAAGGCCATTTGAAGGAGAAACCTGTCTTGCTGCAAAGCAGGTAAAGACTATTGGTCTTGTCCTTTAGTTTCCCCCTAGGCGTTCATCAGGAATGTTGTGTTGTGTCCTGCATTAATTGTGTAAGCTAATTCGTTATTGTGTAAGCTAAAAAGTCCTTTTATTAGACAATGTGCTCAAGATGTTGTCAAGGGAACTACTGTCTACTGCTTTCCCCAATTGGGCATATGGCACTTGATTTTGGCCAATGCTTTGCCTCAATATACCTAGTTCCTTGGTTGCTTAACTTTACTAAACTTTCATGATCAGAATTACCAATTAGATAAATCTTAAGATGGGATATGAATTTCATTTGGATGGTACATGTTAAACACCTTTAGGTGTGGCATTTACTTCTTATCCTTTGATGCTATTAGTTATCTCTACACCTTTGCTGTTTAAATATGGTTATTAGTTCTCTGACAGTGTTAAGCATTCTGGAGGGCAACGGGTGCGTCTTGACTTACAAAAACTGAGCCAATTTTCAATTTTTCCTGGTCAAGTAAGAAATAGGAACTCGACTGCCATTTCAATATTCCTTTTAAAAATTATAACAAAATGCCAAATGATTGCATTTTTGTAGGTTGTGGGTGTTGAAGGGCACAATCCTAGTGGACATTGTCTGACTGCATTATGTTAAAAATTATAACATAATGCCAAATGATTACTATTTAATGCCAATATATCATAACCGCACTTTAAGAGCGCTTCTTCCTTCTATAGCTCCAGCACGAAGTCTGCAGTGCAAATAATAGAATTGAATCAGACTAATAATCAAAATAGTTGCACAACTCGAATAATTAAATCCATAATACATGAGGCCAATTAGAAGGAGATCATTATATCTGACAGAACCCATAAACTAGGTCTTTCCTCTGTCCTTATCAAGAATAGAAGTTGAAGGATGTACAACTTCATCAGTCCAAAAGTGATAGTGTAAATGCCAACTTCTGTGGGCTCAGAATTTAGTCTCTATAATCAAATTATAATCACCATGAAGTCTGGAGCATAAAATAGATTTTGGGAAAGGTAGATATATGTGTACTTACAGTCTGCATCTGTATTGATCCAGTTTTCGCTGTTCCCATTTGAATTGCTTCCACTGATTGTGACTTGTGATGGGTTTGAGTGTCTCTTGAAGCATCGTATGCTCTCTTTTGAAAGGGCTGTATGGGGAAATATTATTATGATATCTTCCCCTGGGTGCGTATAATCTCCGTTATAGTACCCCTCCTCATAGGTGATGTTGTTCTTTGGTTCATTCTTATGGGGCTTATCTGATTTCCATGCAGAAGTTGAGTTTTCAGGATAGACTTTCTTGTGGAACATGTGGAGGATCTGCATGCAGCAAATTGTAAAATTAAAAAACTGAACACAAAATTCAAAGTATGTTTAGGAATTTGAGTTTACATATAATTATGCATAAAACTCTTATATTATGTATGAAATTCTATATATCACATTGTAAGTACTATTTTACCCTGAAAATAAAAGGAGGATATTAAAAATTAGCAATACTTTGCCATGCTCTCATGTCCTTGGACATGGGAATTAGACAAATATGAAGCTTAAGCACATGCTCAAAAGCCAACAACTGTACCTGAGTTCTTGTAATATAGCATTTTGAGTACCTTTAATACTAATAGTGTGATCAAAACAAGTCAACCAGTATCATACTGAGCATGTTAGATACCGCATTTCTATTTCTCGTATCAGAACAATTCATGTTCCTAGTACCATAGGATTAGAGATATTCAGTTTTAAGCACATATTAGAACTTGAAGTGTATCCAGAGAAATGGAGGAACCATCTTGCAATGTTATTGATTGGATGATGCAAATCATCTGATTGGTTTGATCACACTACACAGTATGTTCTTTGTAAGCAAATCACAGATGATGCTGCAATGATCCCAACAAAACTATGTCAGGAGTTGCAGTGCTCCATATATCCCATCTAGAAGATCTATCATTTAGTACTATTTATGCAGTTTCGTCTCCATTGAAGCAGAGATAACATTTCCCCCAGTCACTGTGGTGGAGGTCCGAGAGGAATCATGGACCATTCTTTTCTTCAGTATCTTTTTCATGAGACGTATAGCAGATTTATTTGTTTCCTTGTCTGCCTTCTTTTCTCCGCTCTCGCATTTAGTGACAGAATTTTCCTCTGTCATTTTTGTCCTCTGAAATAGCTCCCCAAGTGATGTTCTATGTTCCTTCTTTGTTTCTGGCAACTCAATTGCAGACCCAAGCAGATAGCCCTGGAGTGGACACATTGTTGTTCTGTTCCCACTGGTCTCTGTGCCTTCCAATGTCTTGCCACTCAATGTAATGGTGCTAACATGACTGTTTCTCCCAGATGAGTCATTGCAACCATCTTCTTTACATTTAACTCCTAGCACCTTCTCCAACTCATCATTAATCAGCTTCAAGTCATGCTCTGTTACTTCTGTTTCTTTTTCAGTTATGTTCTCAACAGAGATGGCGAATGTTGGTGTTGATGATGGGTCAGCGATGACTGTGTCTGAACCAAGAGTACCAATGGTAAGGAAGCCATGGAAGAGCTGAGAAATCGCAGCTGATGACTCTTCTTCAAAGTCATCTTCTTCTATGGCAAATGATTTTCGAAGATGGTTGTATCTCTGTGATTTGCCTAAGGTCTTAGTACCATAGTTTGCCTTCATGTCGTACTGCTGCTCATCCAATGATGGCTTCTCTGAAAGACAATTAGAAGAATTCCATGACTGAAGAAATGTTAAATAATTGGGATAAAGGTGAAGATGACTACCATTGGAATAAATATGATTAGGCGTGCACATGGGTTGCTTTGGTTCTAGTTAGCCTTAAACTCAGAACCAAACCAATCATGATCAGTCCCAGGTTTTTGGGTGCAGGACAGAACCAATCATGCACTGGAACCAAAACCAAACCAAGCCAACCCGATTTAGCATCGGGTTTGTTTGGGTTGGAACCGTAGTTCCACTATACTAAAATAAGTGAATCAATCAGCAATAAATGATTAGAATAAACAAATCTTAAACATTTTAACGTAACACAGACATAGAGCAACAAAGTACTGTTTTAAAATTTAATATTTTTTGCAAAATATTGTTCGAAGACGATTGCCAAGAATACAGAAATCACCCGCAGCGGCTCAGCTTGTAGTAGTGTAGTGGATGAAGGTAGGAAATGAAAGATTAGATTACACAATACGTTTCTCTTATTTATGAAATGATCAGGTGCAAAATTTCACAGGAACTGAAGGACCTTAAAGATTATGACCAGCAAATGAAGCCAAAGGTACGCTTTTCAAATCTTTATGATCCCTCTAATCAATAGCATTGTCATTCTTCAGTGTTGTGTTTGGCTGTTTGATTTATTTGCATAACCAATCTGCTTTTTAAAACACTTGATGTATTAGCTTTTGCTTTCTTTGTTTTTCATGTGCTATAGGTATTTGATTGGTTTGTCAGTCTGATAGTTATTGCTTCCTTCTTTGATGCAGAGAATGAAGATAATGTCTGATCTGTTGATATCTGTTTCTAAAGCTGAGAGACAAGAAGCTAGGTTGAAAGTACGCCAGGACTCTTTGAGACTTGGTAGTGTGGGTGTAATCAGGTACCACATATATTCATTTTGTTTTTCAGTAAAGAAATACTCAGAATAAATCATTCTCCTTCGATTTGGTTCCCACAAATTTATGGAGAAACGAAGACATGGGAGGAAACTGACCTCCAGAAAACACGCAGGAAAGTTGCTAATAAATATTTCTTCTCTTGTTGAAAATAGATGGTGACTTGAATTATCTGGATTGTAATAATTTATGTTATATTGTTCAAACTTGTCAGACTTAGTCTCTTTCATATACCAAGGATCAAAATTTCGTTTTGGTGTGTCGTTTCAGTCAGCTTGGAAACAGAAACATTTCGTTTTGGAAACACAAGGGAAATGATAAAAAATTTGGAAACGCATGAAAATATTTGGAAGGAAAAAAAATAAAGGCGATATAAATGTTTATGCAATCTCTATAATTAAATAATTGAACATGTGTTGTACGCATTTCTTCACATAAAGGGCACAAGTATACACTCCGGAAGTAAATTCAATGCAAACCAATTGTGTATGCTATCTGTTTCTTTACCCATGTATATTGCAAAAATATGCTATATTCAATTGTGTATGCTTCTGGATGTTTTTGGTTGTCTGAATGGGATTAGAAGCTCTCAAATATGCCTTCATGTTTTGGTGATGGCAATTGATATATAGGATAATGCTTTTTAATTTGCTATTTTATCAAGTCAATAGTGTTATCCTAAACAGTTGTTTGTAATTACCCAATGAGAGATACTATTTGAAGTTATGTGAAGCCCTTAATTGTTTAGATGTTGCCACCGCAGAACTTTTTATAACTCTTGATGTTTGAGTTAAAAAAATTCCATTCATCTTTTCCTTTGTTGTTTGTCAATTTATATTGGATATTAATTTTTTGTTTAATAAAATTGCAGAGCTGGAACTATCATATCTGAGACATGGGAGGATGGTCAAGCACTTAAGGATCTCAATTCTCATCTTGTATGTTTTTCTGTATTTTGTTATGAAATAGCGACCATCGTAATGTCCTGGCTCTTTAAATTTCGTGTACTTGCGTGGGATGACTCAAACCTTTTTTGGGGCCCGAAACGAAAAAAAATCTAAATGAGGGCTTTCTGTAGTTCCATAGGTTTTGTAATTTTTGGCCACTTATTTATATCTAATAAAACTATGCTGTGCATGTGTGTAGTTATTAGTCATATTTGTGCTTAAGAAATCTAATTTGGATCACATACTAAGAAATCTAATTCCATAATCCATACCCAATTGGCAAATTAAATTTGGATTTTGAGTTAAGTGAGAATAGTCAATGTATTGACTCCATACTTTAACTGAACCAAGTTAAAGCCTTGTGTCCAATTAGGTGGGATCGGCTGCATGAATCAAATTTTTTATTTTTGCTCTGTCAAAGGCTCTATAGTAGAAATTAAAAAAAATTAACGTGAAAACTCTAAAATCAGAAGCACAGGAGATTTAGCAAT